GCGCCGCAGCCGCTGCTGCGGGTGGAAACCATCGCCAGTGAAGACAAAGATGCTGCTTATGGGGAGTGGGGGCCCTTCGGGAGCTGCAGACTTTCTTGTGTTTCTCCGAAAAACTTTGCATGCAGAAAAAGGAGCTGCAGCGCGGGGTGGAACGGGGGAGCTGTCTGTACACCCGAGAAAATGGTGGACAAGCAGCCCTGCGCAGACCCCACAGTTGCTGCTGCATGCACTTGCCAGGACTTTGCTGCTGCTGCTGCATGCCCCCTCAACGCTGCATGCGACGACTCAGTCCCCAATAGTGTGGCTTGCAAGTGCAGCGGCACTTTCAAAAGACTTTCTGTCTCCGACAAAACCTTCTGCGAACTCGGTGGGCGCAGCTGTACAGACACTCGAACCTGCGCAGACACCTCAGTGCTGGACACACACTGCTGCGGTGTACAGACACCGCAGTGCTGTGCAGACACTGCTGCGGTGTACAGACACCTCAAACCTGCACAGACACTGCAATGTATAGACACCTCAAAGCTGTATAGACACCTCAGCACTGTATAGGCACCTCAGCAGTTTGCTGCTTAGTTTTTTAATGCACAGGCCCCGCTTGTGCTCCTAAACCCTAAACCCTTAACCCTAAATTGGCGTGTTTGCTGCAGGGACCACCTCCATGAGCTCCACGGTTTCTTCAATTTTCGATGATTCCACTTCGCCTTCCCTTTTAATTTTGTGGATCATTTTGGGGGTTTTTGGCTCCGTCGCTGTCATTGGCTGCATCATCCTCGTTTGTAAGCCTAAACCCTAAACCCTAAACCCCAAACCCTAAAACATCGGTCCTCGAGCGTGGGGCCCAGGTGGGGCTCTGTGTTGTTCGATTTACGGTCAAGGGTTTAGGGTTTAGGGTTTAGAATTGGTGTTGACGTTTCGTTTCCTGCTGCATGGGCGTTTTGCTCGCTCAGCGGCTGTTACCTAGGGTTTAGGGTTTAGGGTTTAGGGTTTGGCGGGGGGTTCGATTTGTGTCTGTAGGCGTCAAGGAAAGACCCCAAAGAGAAGAAGATCTTCTTAATGCCACTATAAACCCTCAAACAGGGGATATTGGGGGCCCCGCAAACCCTAGCATGTACTGGAGCGCCTCCCCGTCGCTGCCGGGGGGGCCCCTCCCGATGGGGCCCAGGGGGGCCCCCATGGCACCCCAGGGCCCCTACCCCACTGCAGCCGGGGGAAGGGCTATGCCTCTCCAGGGGGCCCCCCAGCAAGGGCCAGGCGCTGCTCCCTTCAGGAGGTCTTGAGTGCAGCAGCAGTGAGGGGAGCCCCCAAAAGGGTACTAGGGGGGCCCCTTGGGGGCCCCACAGCAGGGACTCCATGGGGGGCCCCCAGTAACCCATGCTGCCAAGGGACACGCACGAACAGCAATCAAGGAGCCCCCGGGGGCCCCTTGATCAAGGGGCCCCCAGGGGCCCCCCTCCAGGAGCTTCTTCCCAGTTTTAGGGCCCCCGCATTGGCACTCAGGCATTCAGGGGCCCCTGGGCCACGAGGGGCCCCACAGCTGAGTTGGGGGGTCTTAGGGTCTCTCTGGGGGCCTTCGGGCCCCCCGGGGGGGCCCCCCCG